TATATAAAATGATTGAAGCCAGCAAGATATTAGGGAAAGTTAAAAACATTGACACTTTTTTGTTATTTATTTTCATTAGTCCGTATGGGAAATGCAGAATCGATCAAAAAATGTATGTCATATACAGATATACCTCCATGATATAGCTAACAATATAAAGATAAGGAGACGTGGTATGATTGCCAATGAGACAACTATCCACCAAAGTTCAAATGAAGTGGATGTAAGCAATAAAAGGAAACCGTACGGCATTCATCAATTAGAAAAACCCATACCGTATAGTCGGCTATAAAAGGCCATGACATGAAAAATATGAAACGATTCAATTGAGAAAACTAACGGCCTCATTTGTAACAAAACATTTTACGAAAAACAAGTATGACAGACATGAACCAACGACAACCACTGAACTACAGGATCCTGACTTGGGACAGGCACACAAAGAATGTGGCGGGGTTAAACATATTTTTGAGCCCTCTACCCCTCCCCTAAGCTGGGACAGTGGCGAAACAGCACAACATAAGAACAAACTATAAAAATCAGTTGAAAATGGCTTAACTCATCAAATCGATACAAAGAAAAACATCAAACAAAAACAGACAAGACGTGGCAGGGGATATATCCATCCCTCATCCCAAACAACAAAAAAGACACTAAGTACAGATCTGAGAGTACACCAACATATTTTTTTTAATTGACATTAAGTCTTTATTTAGGCCTTTACCATTTCAAGCTAGCCTTTGAAAATAAACCCTTGAACACAATGTATGTTTTATCCAACACTAGTTATGCATTATTAATATCAGTTCTGTCTGGTAGTTATTTTATTATTACCGATTTCCAGGAGTGTAAATGTATGGGTAAAGTAAAGCGGGACATGACGACCAAGACGCCAGGCTTTTTTCGGACTTGACTGTTGTCAGATATTTGTTTTTCTAAATTCAATTAATAAACATCTTGTTGGGTTGGAATCCATGACAAATCGCCCCACTGGAAAATCGCCCCACACCTAATCGCCCCACTTTTTCACCAACTCGCCCCACTTTCTAAAAAAATAGCCCCACTTTTGTTTGCCAACTCGCCCCACTTATGAAAAGGGTAAAATCCCATTGAAAACAGGTTGGATAACTTGCCCCACTTATGAAAAGGGTTAAAATCCCGCTGAAATAAGGTCTGCCAACTCGCCCCACTCATGACAAAAAGATAAACCACGACGAATTTAGTAATACCAACTCGCCCCACTTATGAAAAAAGATGCAATCCCGATGTACAAATGTATGTCTATGTCCCTGCCCCACTTATAAATAAAATCAATACCTAATGAAATGAGATTAAATTAATAATACCAATTAAGAAAATAATAATGATTGAATAATAATCAATAGAAAATGATTATAATAATGTTTAATCAATATAACATTATAATATCAATAATAGTAATATAATGATATACATTTTGGAATGGGTTTACAGGAATATATAACTACGTGAATTTGGATTGGATATTGGCAAAATCAGAGACTTTATTATATGTCTCTGGCAAAATAAAACACGTGTCTCATTACATCAATATACAGAATGAGATATCAAACATAAATAGAATTTGAATGGATGGCACGTGCTATCGTATATACACGTGTCAAATTGTTTCATGCAAGGATATAAGAAAAAAATGTGTTTAATTACTGCTTAGTTTTTTCCATTTTTGAATTAAGATTAAATTCAAACTAACTCAAATATTTTTATTGGTGACTACTCGTGTTTACTAACAAAAACAAAAACATGACACACGCTTATTGTAAATGAATGAATGGACATTCTCTTTGGTATTTACTTGAAAGTAACATTACAAGTGGGGCGATTTTTTAAAAAGTGGGGCGAGTTGGTAAACCAGTTTGGGGCGATTTTTTTAAAAGTGGGGCGAGTTGGTGAAAAAGTGGGGCGATTTGCCAGTGGGGCGATTTGTCCTGCTTCCTTGGGTTGTTGTATAATTGTGGTTAACATCACATCTCATTCTAATCATAATTGTTCGGAGACGCTGTAAAAAAGAGGCTGATACCAAAGGAGAATCAAAGGGTTGCCAGTGTCCTGGCCGAAGGTCGGTGGTTCCCTCCTGGTACTCCGACTTTCTCCATCAACAAAACCTGGCCATCATGGTATAGCGATGGAGCTGGAAGTGTCGTTAAACATCAACAAGCAAATAAAAACTAAAACTTTATTGTACCGGAAATCATTTTTTTTTTAATTTCAGATCCACAACACATCTCAAACATTGTATCTTCCAATGAAGATTCCTGCGAAGTTGTATTCCGATTTGTCAGTGGTTTTGCAGGAGAAAATCAAAATGTGAAAAAAATGACAATGATGGAAACTATGTGTAACAAAAAAAAAAGCTTTGGGAAATCAATAAACGTATGATATTATCAATGATAGACGTTTGCTCTTTCTTATCATATATCTTCTTCATACTTTTTCTCTGACTCTTGTCCAAAAGCGGGGTATTTCATGACAGCTTTGACCACATTGGCTTATGTCAAATATCTTTTCTTATTGTAATATGTATGTTTTCAAAATGTCCATCCGCCAAAACACACACAAAGACAATTGGTCGGTATCTTATGTTTGTTTCCCTCTTTCTTATATTTCATTTAACTCCGACTATTATACGAACCTATTGATTCATTGACAACTGTTTCACTGTGTTTTCACAATTAACCTAATCTAAACCCCTTTTTTAATATTTTTTTGTTTCCAATATATGAACAGTGCCGAAAAATACTCAATAATAGCAGCACTTGATATCTAGAAAGGTGCCAAAGTAACATTCCTCACAAAAGATAATTTTTCCCCAATTTCCAGAATTAAATTTTCCCTAAATTCAGTGTCCATGTTTTCTTTATCTGGTTTCTTATTTTATAATTATGTACATGGTCTTTCTTGTGTTCCAGTAGGTTTTGGGTGGCACAATGGCTGGGAAGTAGGATAAATAATGACTTCCAACCTAATATTTACTGGAGGTGTGTGCAACAACATGGATAAATCATCACATAATTTCTTCTCTGCTTATAAATACCTGGTTCTTGATTATTACAATTATCAGAGTGTTTCCTTAAAGTATTATTTGTCACACATTCTATAACAAGGGGCAGACAACTGAATCATTTGAGGAAGTGCATATATGTGAAGAAATTTGTACAGAATATTTACCCCTTAACAGACTTTCCTGATAATATGAATAAATGTGTAAAAACTGCAAATAAAAATGCAAATTGAAGAGTTCTACTGAGAGGACAACAGAATGTACATAGTTATACATTTTAAACCAAAAGTTTTCAAAATAATTTCAGGGTCAATAACTTAAAAACAGGCCGACAGATTTTCCATTTTATTTTTGGATTAATGGATTAATAGATCTTATCGTGCTGATCATTTATGCATTTCCTTTTTTAACCTAGCTTCTGGTTTTCATGATAACAGCCAAAAAGTGTGAACAAAAACTTCAGGGGCAATAAATCCAAAACAAGTTGACAGATTTTCTCCAATTTTCAGCGTGAAATCATCTTGTCATGCTGATCATTTTTGCAATTAACTCTTTAAGCCTAGCTCCTATAGTTATTCAAACAATGCCAAGGAAATGCAAAAAATTTACAAAAATCAACATTCAGGGGCTAACTACAAAGTAGGTGAACAGATTTAAAATTTTCAAGGTAGACAGACAATTTTAAACCTAAAAGTTTTTCTCTTAATTGCTATAGTTTTAGAGATATTAGCCAAAATTGTATTAGAGCAGCCGCATACAACAACTGATTTATTGTGGTTAAGTTGACATTCTATAGATAAAGCCGACAAACCATGGCTTAAATCCATTGAGCAGTTCCAGAGAAGAAGATTTTCAAAGAAAAGTTGACAGGCAATAAAGGTATGACTGGTGGACGCAAAGTGATGTCAAAAGCTCACCTGGCCCAAAGCAGCTGGAGTATGATTGCAATCAAGACAACTTTCCAACAAAGACAAAAGGACAAAAATGTGAACAATTACAGGTCACCATACAGCCTTCAACAATTAGCAGAACCCATACTGTATAGTTAACTTTAAAAGGCATGGAGATGACTTATGTGAAACAATTCAAATGAGAAATCATACAACCTGGTATATGCTAAAGATAATCAGCTAAAAACCATTATGGCAGACAGCAGCCTATAACAACAGCTAGATAACATGCTCCTGGCTTGGGACAGGCACATATAGAATACGGCAGGATAAAATATGCTTGCTACTTTTACATGCAATTTAATAATAAATTCTAAAAATATTGCTTCCAAAGCTTATTTAACAGTTCTGGATCAGTATCAACCCAGACAACATTGGTACGTTGGCACAACATTGGCCCAACGTACCTACATGCATTGGCCCGACGTTGTTTTTAAACGTTGGCCCAATGTATAAGTGCAAAGTGGCCCTATGTTGGCCCAACGTGATGGCTAAACGTTGGCACAACGTTGTAAGGTTTTATACAATACATTGGCCCAACGTTGGTCCAATGATGGAATAATACTTGCCGATGTTGAACAAACGTTGGGCCAACGTAGTAAAACAAACTGTTAACAAACGTTGGCACTCCGTTGGTTCAATCTGTAAACTTTCCTATCCATATGAAGGATACTAAAATCCCTTCCAGGCAACAACTGCAATAATTCCTAGTTCTTACATCAGTTCAAAATGGCGAAAGTAATACTTTTTTTAAATGTTGCAATTATTGCGTTTTACAGATCCACTATACCATGTTGTGTCTTACATACTACCCGAAAATTTTGTATTTTGCCACTTTCTCTCAATCTTCCTGAACATGCATGAAATATTTGTCAATGGACGTTTCAGTTACCAACAACCAATCAATCTTTCTCCAGGAATTGTACTTCTGAATTTTATACCCATATTTGTATGAACTTAATCAACGTATCCATGTTACCTATTTTTCTTAAATAATATAAATACAAAGGTATGATTAAATATAATTTATTATTAGCTAGACAACCAGCAAATTTAAAAAAAGTCTTTTTTGTATCTATACGTTGCTAAATCAGATCTATAGAATGAAAATTTTAAAGTCTATTCATGATAATTCATTTATCCCATTTGTATAATATCATTACAGTTTATGTTGCAATATCCAAGCTCTGTATGACGGTTTGATAATTCATTGTATACAGCTATTTTTCTAGTTCTGTATTCCAACATGGTTTTTATTCACAAGAGTGTTACTTTTGTTTTCTGCTACACTTTGTTTTGTCACTATTTCTGGCTCCGTCTAATGTTACATCCTTTTAATATCCAGTTTAGCATATCTTCATAAAAGTTATTTCACTACATGTACCTCTGTAATAAAGTGATGAATAAATGAGTACTCAATGAATGTATATTTAGAATATATTAAATCCTAAAAAATAAACAAAGAGATAAAAAATGCATTGTTTCTGGTGTCCTGGTACATTACAATAGTTAGAAAAAATACTCTTTTTTGATATTTGCCCTAGCCTATACAATCCAAGGCAAAAGGCATATTGCATGCTTTACCATAATGGCTTGACTTAACCTCGCTAGCTAGGTTAAGCAGGACAATTGAGTGAAGAAATGGATACAGGAAACTTTGTCAAAAAACGTTCTAAGTAAATAAATAAAACTAGTTGAAAAAAAACACAAAGTCAAATCTAAATACACTAGCATTAACGGTAGTATTAAACATTTTATGCATATATATCTGTGAAATTCGAATCCGATGTAGCATAAATGATGGCTATTATGTTAACTTACTTTCTTAAACTTATTCATTCTGGGCTATCAAATGGTAGAATGCATTTTTTCCCATCTCCATTCCCATGCATTTTCTAGTCAGGATGTTGTCAATAATTTCTATTATTCCTAGCTCTGTATTATTCCTTTTGCCCTCTGAATTATTTTGTCTTCTGTAGTACTCAAATATCTAACCTATAAATTTATATTTAAATGTAAAATTGTATATTAAAAAGAAAAGCTACTTCAAGTAATTCAGACAATAATCTTTATAGTCTTTTTCTTTTATAAATATCCTTATGTGTGGTATAGTCTTTTTTTACATCCCCCCTATTTTTTTTTTTTTTTTTTTATATTTTAAGCGTCAGCTTTTTGTGACTGATATTTACTCCTACAAACTATTCAAATATCCGTTTTCTTTTGCAAAAGTTTTGCCGAGGACAAAAAACTAAATTCAGTCGAGTCCGTATAATTATATATAAATTACAACATTCTTGCAATGAATTTGATAAATAAATACTCTATTTGATATCTAAAACACTGTTACACATGCAAGTGTGTATATGATCAGGTTTCACAAATATATCGTATATGTTTGCATGCGATTTAGAAATAATAAAACTAACAAATTCATTTATATTTCTATGAAGTAGAAATCATTATACCACATTTCTGAAACATTACGGAACAAGGTACATCTTAAGACAGATTTTTTCCATTAACTTCAGTAATAGTGATAAATGCAATCGTTATAGATTTCACAAATAAAACATTAAAATATTAGCAATATACAATTTGTTTGATGATACTAATGTTCAGTGGCAAATATTTCATGATTATTTAGGATTAAAATGGTTTAAACAAAATCTAGAAAATATTTCGCCAGAAACGTATAAACTTCAAGATCAACATTATAAAATGATAGAAATTATATGTTTTAATTTTGAACAACATCCCTCAGATTAAAAAAAAACATATATGTTTGTCATTCACAATCGTATATATAACAGAATTTTTAAAGTTATAACTTACATGTCACTTTCTTTTTCTTTGAACCTCAGATAATATGATTTTCTCTTTTTGTTTTCTTCGTTTCACTGCTTTCTTACAAATACACAACAGGAAATAACCACAAAAGTGACCATCCCATTACATTCAGATTGCCTATAAACTTAATTACCATAGCAACTATCTTTGAAATTTGTCTAACATATGGTCAACCTTATCAGAATGTGCTTGATTAACAGACTGGCTGTATCAAATATCACTCTGTATATAATTGCTAAATCATTATGTTTCACAAGTTTAATGAATAAAGTTATAATAAATAATGATTGCAATAAATTTAAACTTTTAACCAGGCAATCTATGTTAACGATATATTTTTTTTATTACAGTAATGATATTCCAGTATAAATTTTACCTGATTTATATATAGAGTATAATATAGGATCAACGTTGGCCCAGCATTGGCCCAACATAGAGTTGTAAATGTAATTTCAGTTGTTGAACCCTTTCGGTATAACATTAACTTTTCATAAAGCATGCAGCAATCGAAATCATCCGTCTTCCCAAGAGAAATAAAGCGTAAAATATTTCATAATCAATTTTTATTAACAAAATTTCATATCGGCCCTGTTTTGCTACTAACGTAATGCCAACGTTGGCCCGATTATTTATAACCAACATGAGATAATAATATGGAATTACAACAGCAGGCCAACGTTGGGCCAATGTTGTGCAGGCAACACCAACGTGCGACTAACGGACCGACAATTTGCCAACGTTGGGCCAATGTTGTGCAGCCAACAACCAATGGTCGACCAACGGACCGACACTTTGCCAACGTTGGGCCAATGTTGTGCAGCCAACACCAACGGTCGACCAACAGACCGACAATTTGCCAACGTTGGCCCACTGTTAGTCTGTTGACTGGGAAAGAGCTGAAAATTGATGCTAGGGGTTTCTTAATCTTGTTTAAGGTAAGGTGTATGAATAGTTCATAGTTATAATGTCTATCATGATCAAGATGAAAGATAATGGTGCAATAAAATTTTCTGTTAAACTAGAAATTTTTTAAGTATACTCATGACTATAATTCTGAGAAGCAAAACAGTTAAGGGTATAAGCATTAAAGAGGGCCTACACAGAACAGCAAAAGTTGTCTGATTACTTTAGCAAGAGAAAGTTGTAATTTTAGTTTAAGTACGATACATAATTGATAACAAGAACATATGTCCAGAGGACACTATGCTTTTGCCAGCACTATCACATTTCTATATTCAGCAAAACCCTGATATTTGGATTATATTTTAGAAAGTTCAATTCATAATGAACATGTGTATTAAGTTTCAAGTTGATGTAACCACAACTTCATGTTTTACTACCTTTACCAAAACTTAAACCTGATACGGGACAGACAGACACACAGACCAAAATACATAATGCTTCTCATACTATTGTAGGTGAGGCATATAAATAGCATTAAAGCAGTGTTCCTTTGATATATTAGATATTTTCAATTCCATCATGACATAACCCCCAAGGGTAACTGGAGAATAGAAATATGGTCATTCTTGGTCTTCTTCCAACCAACAGTAAAACTCTTGCCAAAGTGGGGCGTACATTTGGCTGTGTGGGATGTATTCATACCAAACCACTTTCTGTCAAAATGGGGACGTTAAATCAGATGCCTTGTGTAGAGAGACTGTCATGCTCTCTGCACTATAAAAACCCTTGCAACAACTGTTTTGGGGCTCCATAGGTAATCTGTTGGAAGGCAAAATTTCTGTCTCTATCAAATAAACCCTCATTTTCCAGTGGCAGTCCAAATTTCCAGACCATCATCTCGGTAAGGCCACTATTATAGGACCTACCTATTGTATTTATTGTTAATTTTTTTTGGTCCTAACATTAACTAAATATTTAACACTGGATGTTAAGCAATCAACATTAAAAAATTCCCTCATGACATTGTTGTCTCATGTACATCCTTACCATGTCCATTTGTAAAACCGTTTAAGGGGTGTATTATTGTACATGTATACCATTGTCTGTCCGTCGTCAACATGTCGACAATTACTCAAAAACGCTTCAATCAATTTTCATGAAACTTTGGTGAATTGTTTATATCTATTGACATAAGCTCCCTTTTGATTTTCATAAATTTTAGATTTTACGTTTCCGAGTTATTAGATTTTATTCATAAAAAAGGGGGGATTTTCCAGTTTTCGGACAATAACTCAAAAATGCTTTGAGTAGTTTTCATGAAACTTTGGTGACTGGTTTATTTTCAATGTAAGGTTAGTTAATGGCTATGGCTTGTAAAAAAACAAATAGTGATGTTAGTTTACATGAAAATATTTTAATCAACAAAAACAATTGAGAATTATATAAATATAGATGTAAGAATAAACATTCAGGTAGAAATAAGAATTGGCAAGTGTTATCAAAATGCATATAATGTATACTATACAAAATCTTTTACATAATCCCTGATCTCTTTTGACTATCATCTCTTAACTGTGATCCTAGCTGAGAACTGCATACAATTCTCAAATTCATCTCTGCTATATATATTGTTATACCATGTGTATCATATTTTATGCATCGCTGTCATTGAGTTGTCATGTAGTAAGCCATTGACCAATCAAAGTATCTATTGTTTTTCTTGCCTCAGTAAGTTGTGGTGGATCCGCAGGGGTAGATGGATACATGTTAGCACAGTGGGCTGTACCTATATAATATCAAATCATTGTGAATAAAAGAGAACAATATAAAAACATTAAAAATAATCTGTACTATTATTTTACAGGTTTATCTGTCAAAGAGTAAATATCATGTTGAAAGTGATTCTTATTAAGGTCTTTAATAATACATGCATCACAAAACTTAACATAAACAATGATCTATAAAAATGACTGCAAGGTTAGATAAAACTTTTCAAAAAGAAATAACTTACAAAAATATTGACCTACTACTTATAGTTTCTAAGAAAGTGACCTAATAGTGAAAAAGTTATGACAATGAAACCATTAAATTGAGGTCCAGATCACCCGTCAGACAGACATGTGATCCCAACAAATATTCTATACACCATATATAATTGCCCCTTTACTTTTAGTTTTCATGCTGTTGCTCATTACATTCCTTTTGATAAATGGTAAGGATTTGTATTATTTTAAATGTTATTTATGCCTCATCTTATTCCACTTAAGATCATTTTGTGATGGTAATGCCAAGATATTTTGCTTTATCTGTTGATTTTAGTATATGATCATGTAGTGTACATGTATATAAAAAAAATAATGGGTTTTGTTTACTAGTAAAGTGGACGATTTCACATTTGTCTGGGTTAAATGACATAAACCATTCTTGCTCCAACTGTTCAAATTTATGCAAATATGATTGAAGGGTGTGACAGTCAGTAAGAGATTATATTGTTAGATACACAATGGTGTCATCTGAAAAGACAAAAACATGACTTATATAGGCGACATAAAAAAGGATATCAGTTTTTATAGATGCTTTAAAAAGCTTATGAGTTTTTTTCATGCATTCATTTTCAGTAATTTTACAGGAATTCTATAGGAATGACTTTACCACAATAGCAAATAATCATGTAAGATCAAATTTCAAATACTTTGGCAACCTCTAAATTTATATTTTTTTCAATTGTAAGGCTAGCAAGTTCTGAGTAGATAGATACACCATGGCTTTTGATATTTTAGAAGAAAAGAATGATTCCTTATCAAGAAATGTAGGCAAAAATAACTTACCGTCAATATAAATAGTAGTGAAATTTTGATCTGCACTGGTTGTAGTAAAACTAAGAGCATGCCATGGATCTATAGAACCATTAGGGAAGACAACTTTTGTAGGTTTCATGGCATATGCTCCATAATTAGTGTTTGTCCTGTTGATTCCTTTCTGTATTAAATCAGCATTAAATTTGGCTCCAAATATATCAATACACTGCTGAATAGAGAAACTGAAAGTAGAAATCAAAAGTATTTTGTTGCTGCTTTAAACAAGTCCATATGTTAAATATGAGACATTGGGTTCATTCTGGGCTACATTCATCATTGAAAAGAGGTTTTCCCTTTTTTCTATTATTTGGAGTAGATAACATCTAACTTTGTAAAACATATTTGATTTCTAACACATCAGTTTTATTCCTAGACATCTCTTCCATTAAACGCCAAAGCCATGTTCAAAATACTTTCTTTTTTTTTGCAACATTTATTCTGTATTTTTATAGTATAAATTTGATATGAAAGTGGCTTACTTCAAAGGAAAACCTGTAAATGGTTGATCTTTCAGATCTGAAGTCTGATAAAATCCAAATTCTGTACAGGTCTGATACATCCACTGACGTCCTGGAAAGAGTTAAAATTGAGAATAAAAAACTAAAATGATATAAGCAGATATGACATTCACAAATTTCCAATCTCTAACATTATATATAATTAGCACATATTGTCTTTGCAATATTAATTGCAGCCAAAAAATTGAAAGGCTAAAAGAAGCAGGCAAAATAAAACATTGTATAGTATTTTTCTTTTTTCTTCTCATACTCATTATACAACATGCCACATCTTTATTTTAAAATTAGCTTGGAAGTTTTTCGTTAAAGTATCTTCAAATCAAAAATTTGTTATATCTAAACATTTTTCTGTAATTGTATATTTTCTCACCAGAATATAATCAATATGCCATTTAAAAACTTGTTCTCAAGTGGAGAGTTTCAGGATTGATAAAACAGCAAATTCTATTCTAAAACTGTTGGATCAGAAAGGTCCTGAACAAAATTTTCTCTCATAAACATTGTACCCCAAAATTCAATTGCCATACTTATGATTGCCATACTGGTTGGTCAAAGGATAATAGATCAAATAGACATTTCTTAAAAGAGGCCCTGTAAGCAAGTTATGAGCAGGGGTTTCAGAGAATAAGAAAATTTGAATGAAAAAACTTATGCCAAGTAATGGCAAAGCTTATATGACCCTTTCTATTGGTAAATTGAA